ACCGCCCGGGCATGGCCGGCTCTGCCTTCCCTGTCACCGACCTGCGCGAAGGACAGAGGGGCGCTGAGCTGGCCGTCGGGGAGCCCTGCCGGGGCACCCCTTCTCCCGACCCGCCTGCTCCTCTCGCCCTCCCGCGGCCTCCGCCTCTCCATCCACCCCCCCTCCCTCCTCACCCCTTGGGGGCACCCATCCTTCACCATTCATCTAGTGCCCTAGTGCACCGAGTCCCCCACATCCGAAAGCTAAGGTACCGCTGGCTGGTCACGTCAGGCTTTAGGAGGAGACGACATTTACAAACACACGCACACACGGCCCGGGGAATTAATCGAGATCTTTGGCACGTTTCCCGTCGGAGATCGCTCTCTCTGTTTCCCCGTTTAACCCCATCCTTCCCCCATCCCTCCCCTTTCCTAATTATGGGGCTCAAGCCAGGAGCAGAGAAAGAGCTGTGCAGCAATCCCTAAACCTTTTCTTTCCTGGCGCTATAATTTAACTGTTGGGTCCACAATAGCCAGTAATCTCATCGTCAAGCAGGATTATAGTCATCGTTAGCTAATCACAATAGATTTTTTTTCTCCTTCCTTTTTGTGTGTTTCTCGCCGGAGGACTCTGGCTGGCAGCCGGGAACCATCCTGGGATGCTCAGGTGAAGCCCTTGCAGCTGTGCCTTCACCTAGCATCTCTGCCTTTGCAGCCGAATAAGAGGATGAGCCGCCGATTCAAGAGTATCTTTCAAACTATTTTGCCTGGATTGGGCTAGCCGAGAAAGCCCGATCCCAAGCTCCTCTCCCACCCCTTCCCCCATGCGTGCATACCATTTATTATCTGCAAATTTGTATCTGTGGTCATCCGCTGGTACAATATCCATCAACAGTATGTACTTAGTTTTTGGATTAAGTCCAGTGACCTTCACTTTGTAACTGGGGAACATACGCCTATAAAAAAAAATAAACAAAGTGCATAAATATAAATATAGAGAAGAGAAAGTTTCCGAAGGTGGCTGCGTGTGTGTCTATGTGTGTTTGCAAGAAGAGGGGATCACCAAACAGAAGTGCAACGCCACACACTCAGATGTACCTTCCAAAAACGCTCGGGCACACGCAGAACGCAACTTTCCCTTAGTGGTACCGCTGGGACTGTTTGAGATTTGTTTGGCTGCCGTTGGGTATCGCTCCCTTGCTCTGGGTCCTATCTGAGGCAAAACAGGCGTTTTATCAAGGGAGAATCATAGTTACGAGGCTGGTGGGTTTATTTATTTGTGTGTCTCCTTATCTGCTAATTTCTGATGTAGTTGTTATTTATTTCGCCGATACTCCGATTCTCCCTTGTTTTAACAAACCAGGTCATGAGACCCTTTAGGAGTAAGTTACATTCCTGTATGCATAAACCATTGGAGTAGTAGGGGATATTTGCCAAAAAGATAAAGTTAAAATACATATATCTATATGCATTTTAAATACATATATTTTAACAAAACCCTTCCATGTGTATCAACGATTCCGTGGATATAGACAGGAAATAATGCATGCACTCAGGTGTAACATCCAATCTGTGCGGACAGATGAACGCGTATACAGAGACATCAGCAAACACACCTGACAAATACTTGGAAACATTCAAATACACACTGAAGACAGGGGCTTTTCGAAATATTTTCCATTACTGCAAGTCAGTGACTCAAAACACTGATGTTATTTTAGTTTGAGCTTTCCAAATATTTAAGAATAAAGCAGATGAAAACGTATCCCCTGACTTAAAACACGCATAAACAAAAACCCCACACCTCTAAAAAT